AGCCTTCTGTTTCGACTGCCAAACCTTTCAGGGGAGCATTTGCAAGCGTTTGGCACCATTTTTGAATGAATTGCCAAAAGTCAGATTTTTGCTGAAATTGTGACCCCGGGCTTAGGGATTTTTTCAAAAATATTTTCTGCCGGTTATGTTGCTGAGGGCTGATTTCTTGTTGTTTGATGAAAAGCCTTCTGATCTCGACTGCCAAACCTTTCAGGGGAGCATTTGCAAGCGTTTGGCACCATTTTTGAATGAATTGCCAAAAGTCAGATTTTTGCTGAAATTATGACCCGGGGCTTAGGGATTTTTTCAAAAAATCTTTTTCCGCAGGGTAAGTGATCGAGGGCTGATTTCTTGTCCTTTGATGAAAAGCCTTCTGTTTCGATTGCCAAACATTTTGGGAGAGCATTTGCAAACATTTGGCACCATTTTTGAGTGAATTGCCAAAAGTCAGATTTTTGCTGTATTTGTGAGCGCGGGCTTAGGGATTTTTTCAAAAAATATTTTCCGCCGGTTATGTTGCTGAGGGCTGATTTCTTGTCCTTTGATGAAAAGCCTTCTGTTTCGACTGCCAAACCTTTCAGGGGAGCATTTGCAAGCGTTTAGCACCATTTTTGAATGAATTGCCAAAAGTCAGATTTTTGCTGAAATTGTGACCCCGGGGCTTAGGGATTTTTTCAAAAATATTTTACGCCGGTTATTTTGGTGAGGGCTGATTTATTGTAGTTTGATGAAAAGCCTTCTGATTCGACTGCCAAACCTTTCAGGAGAGCATTTGCAAGCGTTTCGCACCATTTTTGAATGAATTGCCGAAAGTCAGATTATTGCTGAAATTGTGACCCCGGGGCTTAGAGATTATTTCAAAAAATACTTTCCGCCGGTTATGTTGCTGAGGGCTGATTTCTTGTCCTTTGATGAAAAGCCTTCTGTTTCGACTGCCAAACCTTTCAGGGGAGCATTTGAAACCATTCAGAACCATTTTTGAATGAATTACCAAAAGTCAGATTTTTGCTGAAATTGTGACCCCCGGGGCTTAGGAATTTTTTCAAAAAATATTTTCTGCCGGTTATGTTGTTGAGGGCTGATTTCTTGTTGTTTGATGAAAAGCCTTCTGATTCGACTGCCAAACCTTTCAGGAGAGCATTTGCAAGCGTTTCGCACCATTTTTGAATGAATTGCCGAAAGTCAGATTTTTGCTGAAATTGTGACCCCGGGGCTTAGGGATTTTTAAAAAAAATATTTTCTGCCGGTTATGTTGCTGAGGGCTGATTTCTTGTCCTTTGATGAAAAGCCTTCTGTTTCGACTGCCAAACCTTTCAGGGGAGCATTTGCAAGCGTTTGGCACCATTTTTGAGTGAATTTCCAAAAGTCAGATTTTTGCTGAAATTGTGACCACGGGGCTTAGAGATTATTTCAAAAATACTTTTCCGCCGGTTATGTTGCTGAGGGCTGATTTCTTGTCCTTTGATGAAAAGCCTTCTGTTTCGACTGCCAAACCCTTCAGGGGAGCATTTGCAAGCGTTTGGCACCATTTTTGAGTGAATTGCCAAAAGTCAGATTTTTGCTGAAATTGTGACCCCGGGGCTTAGGGATTTTTTGAAAAAAATATTTTCTGCCGGTTATGTTGCTGAGGGCTGATTTCTTGTTGTTTGATGAAAAGCCTTCTGATCTCGACTGCCAAACCTTTCAGGAGAGCATTTGCAAGCGTTTGGCACCATTTTTGAATGAATTGCCAAAAGTCAGATTTTTGCTGAAATTCTGACCCGGGGCTTAGGGATTTTTTCAAAAATATTTTCCGCCGGTTATGTTGCTGAGGGCTGATTTCTTGTCCTTTGATGAAAAGCCTTCTGTTTCGACTGCCAAACCCTTCAGGGGAGCATTTGCAAGCGTTTGGCACCATTTTTGAGTGAATTGCCAAAAGTCAGATTTTTGCTGAAATTGTGACCCGGGGCTTAGGGATTTCTTCAAAAAATCTTTTCCGCCCGGTTATGTTGCTGAGGGCTGATTTCTTGTCCTTTGATGAAAAGCGTTCTGATTCGACTGCCAAACCTTTCAGGGGAGCATGTGCAAGCGTTTGGCACCATTTTTGAGTGAATTGCCAAAAGTCAGATTTTTGCTGAAATTGTCACCCCGGGGCTTAGGGATTTTTTCAAAAAATATTTTCCGCCGGTTATGTTGCTGAGGGCTGATTTCTTGTCCTTTGATGAAAAGCCTTCTCTTTCGACTGCCAAACCCTTCAGGGGAGCATTTGCAAGCGTTTGGCACCATTTTTGAGTGAATTTCCAAAAGTCAGATTTTTACTGAAATTGTGACCCCGGGGCTTAGAGATTATTTCAAAAAATATTTTCCGCCGGTTATGTTGCTGAGGGCTGATTTCTTGTCCTTTGATGAAAAGCCTTCTGTTTCGACTACCAAACATTTCTGGGGAGCATTTGCAAGCGTTTGGCACCATTTTTGAGTGAATTGCCAAAAGTCAGATTTTTGCTGAAATTGAGAAACCGGTGCTTAGGGATTTTTTCAAAAAAATCTTTTTCCGCCGGTTAACTGATCGAGCGCTGATTTCTTGTACTTTAATGAAAAGCCTTTTGTTTCGACTGCCACACCTTTCAGGGGAGCATTTGCAAGCGTTTCGCACGATTTTTGAATGAATTGCCAAAAGTCAGATTTTTGCTGAAATTCTGACCCCGCGGCTTAGGGATTTTTTCAAAAAATATTTTCTGCCGGTAATGTTGCTGAGGGATGATTTCTTGTTGTTTGATGAAAAGCCTTCTGATTCGACTGCCAAACCTTTCAGGGAGCATTTGCAAGCGTTTGGCACCATTTTTGAATGAATTGCCGAAAGTCAGATTTTTGCTGAAATTGTGACCCCGTGGCTTAGGGATTTTTTCAAAAATATTTCCCGCCGGTTAAGTGTTCGAGGGCTGATTTCTTGTTGTTTGATGAAAAGCCTTCTGATTCGACTGCCAAACCTTTCAGGGGAGCATTTGCAAGCGTTTGGCACCATTTTTGAATGAATTGCCGAAAGTCAGATTTTTGCTGAAATTGTGACGCCGGGGCTTTGGGCTTTTTTTAAAAAAATATTTTCTGCCGGTTATGTTGCTGAGGGCTGATTTCTTGTTGTTTGATGAAAAGCCTTCTGATTCGACTGCCAAACCTTTCAGGGGAGCATTTGCAAGCGTTTGGCACCATTTTTGAATGAATTGCCGAAAGTCAGATTTTTGCTGAAATTGTGACCCCGGGGCTTAGGGATTTTTTCAAAAAAATCTTTTTCCGCCTGGTAAGTGGTCGAGGGCTGATTTCTTGTACTGTGATAAAAAGCCTTCTGTTTCGATTGCCAAACATTTTGGGAGAGCATTTGCAAGCGTTTGGCACCATTTTTGAGTGAATTGCCAAAAGTCAGATTTTTGCTGAAATTGTGACCCCGGGGCTTAGGGATTTATTCAAAAAAATCTTTTTCCTCCAGTTAAGTGATCGGGGGCTTATTTCTTGTCCTTTGATGAAAAGCCTTCTGTTTCGACTGCCAAACCTTTCAGGGAGCATTTGCAAGCGTTTGGCACCATTTTTGAATGAATTGCTAAAAGTCAGATTTTTGCTCAAATTGTGACACCGGGGCTTAAGGATTTTTTCAAAAATATCTTTTTCCGCCGGGTAAGTGGTCAAGGGCTGATTTCTTGTCCTGTGATAAAAAGCCTTCTGTTTCGATTGCCAAACATTTCAGGGGAGCATTTGCAAGCGTTTGCCACCATTTTTGAGTGAATTGCCAAAAGTCAGATTTTTGCTGAAATTGTGACCCCGGGGCTTAGGGATTTTTTCAAAAAAATCTTTTTCCGCCGGTTAAGTGGTCGAGGGCTGATTTCTTGTCTTGTGATAAAAAGCCTTCTGTTTCGACTGCCAAACCTTTCAGGGGAGCATTTGCAACCATTCAGAACCATTTTTGAATGAATCGCCAAAAGTCAGATTTTTGCTGAAATTGTGACCCCGGGGCTTAGGGATTTTTTCAAAACATATTTTCCGCCGGTTATGTTGCTGAGGACTGATTTCTTGTCCTTTGATGAAAAGCCTTCTGTTTCGACTGCCAAACCTTTCAGTGGAGCATTTGCAAGCGTTTGGCACCATTTTTGAGTGAATTGCCAAAAGTCAGATTTTTGCTGAAATTGTGACCCCGGGGCTTAGGGATTTTTTCAAAAAAATCTTTTTCGGCCGGATAAGTGATCGAGGGCTGATTTTTTGTGTTTGATGAAAAGCCTTCTGTTTCGACTGCCAAACCTTTCAGAGGAGCATTTGCAAGTGTTTCGCACCATTTTTGAATGAATTTCCAAAAGTCAGATTGTTGCTGAAATTGAGACCACGGCGCATAGGGATTTTATCAAAAATATTTTCCGCCGGTTATGTTGCTGAGGGCTGATTTCTTGTCCTTTGATGAAATGCCTTCTGTTTCGACTGCCAAACCATTCAGGGAGCATTTGCAAGCGTTTGGCACCATTTTTGAGTGAATTGCCAAAAGTCAGATTTTTGCTGAAATTGTGACCTCGGGGCTTAGGGAGTTTTGAAAAAATATTGTCTGCCGGTTATGTTGCTGAGGGCTGATTTCTTGTTGTTTGATGAAAAGCCTTCTGATTCGACTGCCAAACCTTTCAGGAGAGCATTTGCAAGCGTTTGGCACCATTTTTGAATGAATTGCCAAAATCAGATTTTTGCTGAAATTCTGACCCGGGGGCTTAGGAATTTTTTCAAAAAATATTTTCCGCCGGTTATGTTGCTGAGGGCTGATTTCTTGTCCTTTGATGAAAAGCCTTCTGTTTCGACTGCCAAACCCTTCAGGGGAGCATTTGCAAGCGTTTGGCACCATTTTTGAGTGAATTGCCAAAAGTCAGATTTTTGCTGAAATTGTGACCCCGGGGCTTAGGGATTTCTTCAAAAAAATCTTTTTCCGCCGGTTATGTTGCTGAGGGCTGATTTCTTGTCCTTTGATGAAAAGCCTTCTGATTCGACTGCCAAACCTTTCAGGAGAGCATTTGCAAGCGTTTGGCACCATTTTTGAATGAATTGCCGAAGGTCAGATTTTTGCTGAAATTGTCACCCCGGGGCTTAGGGATTTTTTCAAAAAATATTTTCCGCCGGTTATGTTGCTGAGGGCTGATTTCTTGTCCTTTGATGAAAAGCCTTCTCTTTCGACTGCCAAACCCTTCAGGGAGCATTTGCAAGCGTTTGGCACCATTTTTGAGTGAATTTCCAAAAGTCAGATTTTTACTGAAATTGTGACCCCGGGGCTTAGAGATTATTTCAAAAAATATTTTCCGCCGGTTATGTTGCTGAGGGCTGATTTCTTGTCCTTTGATGAAAAGCCTTCTGTTTCGACTACCAAACATTTCAGGGGAGCATTTGCAAGCGTTTGGCACCATTTTTGAGTGAATTGCCAAAAGTCAGATTTTTGCTGAAATTGAGACACCGGTGCTTAGGGATTTTTTCAAAAAAATCTTTTTCCGCCGGTTAACTGATCGAGGGCTGATTTCTTGTACTTTGATGAAAAGCCTTCTGTTTCGACTGCCACACCTTTCAGGGGAGCATTTGCAAGCGTTTGGCACCATTTTTTGAATGAATTGCCAAAAGTCAGATTTTTGCTGAAATTCTGACCCCGGGGCTTAGGGATTTTTTCAAAAAATATTTTCTGCCGGTAATGTTGCTGAGGGATGATTTCTTGTTGTTTGATGAAAAGCCTTCTGATTCGACTGCCAAACCTTTCAGGGGAGCATTTGCAAGCGTTTGGCACCATTTTTGAATGAATTGACGAAAGTCAGATTTTTGCTGAAATTGTGACCCCGTGGCTTAGGGATTTTTTCAAAAAAATATTTTCCGCCGGGTAAGTGGTCGAGGGCTGATTTCTTGTTGTTTGATGAAAAGCCTTTTGATTCGACTGCCAAACCTTTCAGGGGAGCATTTGCAAACGTTTGGCACCATTTTTGAATGAATTGCCAAAAGTCAGATTTTTGCTGAAATTGTGACCCCGGGGCTTAGGGATTTTTTCAAAAAATATTTTCTGCCGGTTATGTTGCTGAGGGCTGATTTCTTGTTGTTTGATGAAAAGCCTTCTGATTCGACTGCCAAACATTTCAGGGGAGCATTTGCAAGCGTTTGGCACCATTTTTGAATGAATTGCCGAAAGTCAGATTTTTGCTGAAATTGTGACCCCGGGGCTTAGGGATTTTTTCAAAAAAATCTTTTTCCGCCTGGTAAGTGGTCGAGGGCTGATTTCTTTTACTGTGATAAAAAGCCTTCTGTTTCGATTGCCAAATATTTTGGGAGAGCATTTGCAAGCGTTTGGCACCATTTTTGAGTGAATTGCCAAAAGTCAGATTTTTGCTGAAATTGTGACCCCGGGGCTTAGGGATTTATTCAAAAAATACTTTTTCCTCCAGTTAAGTGATCGGGGGCTTATTTCTTGTCCTTTGATGAAAAGCCTTCTGTTTCGACTGCCAAACCTTTCAGGGAGCATTTGCAAGCGTTTGGCACCATTTTTGACTGAATTGCTAAAAGTCAGATTTTTGCTCAAATTGTGACACCGGGGCTTAAGGATTTTTTCAAAAATATCTTTTTCCGCCGGGTAAGTGGTCAAGGGCTGATTTCTTGTCCTGTGATAAAAAGCCTTCTGTTTCGATTGCCAAACATTTCAGGGGAGCATTTGCAAACGTTTGCCACCATTTTTGAGTGAATTGCCAAAAGTCAGATTTTTGCTGAAATTGTGACCCGGGGCTTAGGGATTTTTTCAAAAAATCTTTTCCGCCGGTTAAGTGGTCGAGGGCTGATTTCTTGTCTTGTGATAAAAGCCTTCTGTTTCGACTGCCAAACCTTTCAGGGAGCATTTGCAACCATTCAGAACCATTTTTGAATGAATCGCCAAAAGTCAGATTTTTGCTGAAATTGTGACCCAGGGCTTAGGGATTTTTTCAAAACATATTTTCCGCCGGTTATGTTGCTGAGGACTGATTTCTTGTCCTTTGATGAAAAGCCTTCTGTTTCGACTGCCAAACCTTTCAGTGGAGCATTTGCAAGCGTTTGGCACCATTTTTGAGTGAATTGCCAAAAGTCAGATTTTTGCTGAAATTGTGACCCCGGGGCTTAGGGATTTTTTCAAAAAATCTTTTTCGGCCGGATAAGTGATCGAGGGCTGATTTTTTGTGTTTGATGAAAAGCCTTCTGTTTCGACTGCCAAACCTTTCAGAGGAGCATTTGCAAGTGTTTCGCACCATTTTTGAATGAATTTCCAAAAGTCAGATTTTTGCTGAAATTGTGACCCCGGGGCTTAGGGATTTTATCAAAAAATATTTTCCGCCGGTTATGTTGCTGAGGGCTGATTTCTTGTCCTTTGATGAAATGCCTTCTGTTTCGACTGCCAAACCATTCAGGGGAGCATTTGCAAGCGTTTGGCACCATTTTTGAGTGAATTGCCAAAAGTCAGATTTTTGCTGAAATTGTGACCCCGGGGCTTAGGGATTTTTTGAAAAAAATATTTTCTGCCGGTTATGTTGCTGAGGGCTGATTTCTTGTTGTTTGATGAAAAGCCTTCTGATTCGACTGCCAAACCTTTCAGGAGAGCATTTGCAAGCGTTTGGCACCATTTTTGAATGAATTGCCAAAAGTCAGATTTTTGCTGAAATTCTGACCCGGGGGCTTAGGAATTTTTTCAAAAAATATTTTCCGCCGGTTATGTTGCTGAGGGCTGATTTCTTGTCCTTTGATGAAAAGCCTTCTGTTTCGACTGCCAAACCCTTCAGGGGAGCATTTGCAAGCGTTTGGCACCATTTTTGAGTGAATTGCCAAAAGTCAGATTTTTGCTGAAATTGTGACCCCGGGGCTTAGGGATTTCTTCAAAAAAATCTTTTTCCGCCGGTTATGTTGCTGAGGGCTGATTTCTTGTCCTTTGATGAAAAGCCTTCTGATTCGACTGCCAAACCTTTCAGGAGAGCATTTGCAAGCGTTTGGCACCATTTTTGAATGAATTGCCGAAGGTCAGATTTTTGCTGAAATTGTCACCCCGGGGCTTAGGGATTTTTTCAAAAAATATTTTCGGCCGGTTATGTTGCTGAGGGCTGATTTCTTGTCCTTTGATGAAAAGCCTTCTCTTTCGACTGCCAAACCCTTCAGGGGAGCATTTGCAAGCGTTTGGCACCATTTTTGAGTGAATTTCCAAAAGTCAGATTTTTACTGAAATTGTGACCCCGGGGCGTGGAGAGTATTGCAAAAATTATGTTAGGCCGGGTCTGTTGCTGAGGGCTGATTTCTTGTCCTTTGATGAAAAGCATTCTGTTTCGACTACCAAACATTTCAGGGGAGCATTTGCAAGCGTTTGGCACCATTTTTGAGTGAATTGCCAAAAGTCAGATTTTTGCTGAAATTGAGACACCGGTGCTTAGGGATTTTTTCAAAAATCTTTTCCGCCGGTTAACTGATCGAGCGCTGATTTCTTGTACTTTAATGAAAAGCCTTCTGTTTCGACGGCCACACCTTTCTGGGGAGCATTTGCAAGCGTTTGGCACCATTTTTGAATGAATTGCCAAAAGTCAGATTTTTGCTGAAATTCTGACCCCGCGGCTTAGGGATTTTTTCAAAAAATATTTTCTGCCGGTAATGTTGCTGAGGGATGATTTCTTGTTGTTTGATGAAAAGCCTTCTGATTCGACTGCCAAACCTTTCAGGGGAGCATTTGCAAGCGTTTGGCACCATTTTTGAATGAATTGACGAAAGTCAGATTTTTGCTGAAATTGTGACCCCGTGGCTTAGGGATTTTTTCAAAAAATATTTTTCGCCGGGTAAGTGGTCGAGGGCTGATTTCTTGTTGTTTGATGAAAAGCCTTTTGATTCGACTGCCAAACCTTTCAGGGGAGCATTTGCAAACGTTTGGCACCATTTTTGAATGAATTGCCAAAAGTCAGATTTTTGCTGAAATTGTGACCCCGGTGCTTAGGGATTTTTTCAAAAAGGAATGTCAACCGGTTATGTTGCTGAGGGCTGATTTCTTGTTGTTTGATGAAAAGCCTTCTGTTTCGACTGCCAAACCTTTCAGGGGAGCATTTGCAAGCGTTTGGCACCATTTTTTGAATGAATTGCCAAAAGTCAGATTTTTGCTGAAATTGTGACCCCGGGGCTTAGGGATTTTTTCAAAAAAATCATTTTCCGCCTGGTAAGTGGTCGAGGGCTGATTTCTTTTACTGTGATAAAAGCCTTCTGTTTCGATTGCCAAATATTTTGGGAGAGCATTTGCAAGCGTTTGGCACCATTTTTGAGTGAATTGCCAAAAGTCAGATTTTTGCTGAAATTGTGACCTCGGGCTTAGGGATTTATTCAAAAAAATCTTTTTCCTCCAGTTAAGTGATCGGGGGCTTATTTCTTGTCCTTTGATGAAAAGCCTTCTGTTTCGACTGCCAAACCTTTCAGGGGAGCATTTGCAAGCGTTTGGCACCATTTTTGAATGAATTGCTAAAAGTCAGATTTTTGCTCAAATTGTGACACCGGGGCTTAAGGATTTTTTCAAAAATATCTTTTTCCGCCGGGTAAGTGGTCAAGGGCTGATTTCTTGTCCTTTGATGAAAAGCCTTCTGTTTCGATTGCCAAACATTTCAGGGGAGCATTTGCAAGCGTTTGCCACCATTTTTGAGTGAATTGCCAAAAGTCAGATTTTTGCTGAAATTGTGACCCCGGGGCTTAGGGATTTTTTCAAAAAACTCTTTTCCGCCGGTTAAGTGGTCGAGGGCTGATTTCTTGTCCTTTGATAAAAGCCTTCTGTTTAGACTGCAAAACCTTTCAGGGGAGCATTTTCAACCTTTCAGAACCATTCTGTACTGAATAGCCAAAATTAAGATTTTTGATGTAATTGTGACCCCGGGGCTTAGGGATTTTTTCAAAACATATTTTCCGCCGGTTATGTTGCTGAGGACTGATTTCTTGTCCTTTGATGAAAAGCCTTCTGTTTCGACTGCCAAACCTTTCAGTGGAGCATTTGCAAGCGTTTGGCACCATTTTTGAGTGAATTGCCAAAAGTCAGATTTTTGCTGAAATTGTGACCCCCCGGGGATTAGGGATTTTTTCAAAAAAATCTTTTTCGGCCGGATAAGTGATCGAGGGCTGATTTTTTGTGTTTGATGAAAAGCCTTCTGTTTCGACTGCCAAACCTTTCAGAGGAGCATTTGCAAGTGTTTCGCACCATTTTTGAATGAATTTCCAACAGTAAGAATTATGCTGAAATTGTGACCCTGGGGCTTAGGGATTTTATCAAAAAATATTTTCCGCCGGTTATGTTGCTGAGGGCTGATTTCTTGTCCTTTGATGAAATGCCTTCTGTTTCGACTGCCAAACCATTCAGGGGAGCATTTGC